TCAATAGCAACGCTCTCACCAACCAAACCAGGTATCGAAGCCTCAGCTTCAGACGTACCTAAAACTGGTTCAACCTTATCTTCTCCCTCGGTTTTAACCTTCTCCTTCTCCTCGTTTCTTGACCCCGCTTCGTCGTTCTTTCTCATAGACTGAAGAAACCCTTCTCCGACATTAACGTCGTTATACAGATCCTCATAGTCGTCGTCCTCTTCCTCCGCCATGAAACCATCGTCGGCGACTGCAGAGATCGCCTCGTTTCGATGAAACTGATCCATCTGATCCCTCCCATCACCCTCATCCATCTTGAACTCTTCCTGGTAATTACGAAAAGAAAGCTCCTTCCTTTCAATCGTATTCTCAAATCAGAATACCGCAAAAGCTTACGCCTTACTCGAAAATGAACAATCTCAACAACACACAGAAATTTTTGTCGCCGGAAGATAGAAACGGAGAAAAGGCCTGTCGCTAGAAAACCCTAATCCAGGAGATTTGTGAAATTTCTAGGATTTTGTTATTTCATTATTCTCTTTACAATTAATAAATCTCTTTTTTTTTTTTTTNTTCTCCTCGCGTAGCTTATAAATTGACTCCTAGTAATATCGCTAACGTATACCGTGCGCACTGCGCATTTTAAAAGCCTTTCCGAATGAAGAAAACACGTGTACTACAATCCAACACGCGTGTATTTCATGGGCCTTAACAAGAATCATATACAAATGGGCCAGTTTTTTAATGGGCTTTCTATGGAGAGTAGCGTAAACTACATGTCGTTCAGATTTCTAAAGAACATAACCAAACGTCACGTCGTCTGATCTTCTCTTGTTTAAACTTCGTATCGTCTCAATCCTTAGTAACCGGTTGCTCTCTTCGGATTAACGGCTAGTTCACTTCCTAGAACCGGTCAACATATAGGCGCCTTCACCGCCCCCAACGGTCATATGTCTCGAACATCACAACGTTTCGTGATTTTAAAAATCTATTTCTTATAAATCTATTAATTAATCGAAAGAAACCTGCGAACACTCATTTTTGAAGAAGAGAGAATTCTAAACGATGCATCCGTTTCTTGTAATTTTCTTTTTTGTCTTCTTAGTTTCTATTTCTGGTAATGCACAAGACGACAATGTACCCGCTCAATCGCCGAGACTCGCGGAGAAACAACCTCCTCTTGTTATCATTACTCCGGCGAGGCCTCCGGTACACTCTCCTGTGAAATCTAATCGCGTTACTTCTCCGGCGAAGTCACCGACGTCTCCTCAAACGCCCATTTTACATCCACCAACGATCCAAAACTCCACGACTGCACATTCTTCGACGAAGCAAACTTCGCCTGCCAAGTCTCCGGTGAAAACCCATGTTTCTTCTCCCACCATTGCTATTACTACGAAATCCCCTGTTTTTGCTCCGGCAATTTCCCCTGTTTCCTCTCCGACCACTGCGACTCCTTTGAAATCCCCTGTTTTCGCTCCGGCGACTTCCCCTGTTTTATCTCCGACCATTGCGTCTCCTTTAAAATCCCCTGTTCACTCCCCGGCAACTTCCCCTGTTTCTTCTCGGACCGTAGCGACTCCTTTGGCGTCCCCTGTTATTGCTCCGGCGACTTCCCCTGTTTCCTCTCGGACCATTGCGACTCCTTTGACATCCCCTGTTATTGCTCCGGCTACTTCCCCTGTTTCCTCTCCGACTACCGCCACGACTCCTGTCTCTGCTCCGGCTACTTCCCCTCCGACGAGGATTCCAGTGAAGTCTCCTGTCTCCGTTCCAACAATGAGTCCTACTACCTCGATAGAATCGCCTGCCACTGCTCCAGCGAACCAACCACCGGTCCCTGCCGATGCACCAGAGATCGCGGCGACGTCGCCGGTAACAACCCCTGGTATTCCGTCGAGTCCTTCCACTCCAGCAAATGCGCCAGATATATTTCCTTACGGACGCCGTCCTGTAAGTAGTTCTGCACCAGCGACAGCAAATTTGGCGCCGGAGACTGCCGGAAATAAGTCGGCTTCGAAATCAGTTCACCAGGATGTTCTTTGCCCATTAGTGATTATCGTGGCCACTTTGGTACTCTAGGAAGAAAATTAATCTTTAGTCGATCATAAAATTCTTCATTACATCATGTAA